AGAGGAAGACTATTCAGGGGCCCAGTGGATTGCTTGTTTAGAAGATATCTGTGGGCAACCACTAATTTTCTTTTTTGTTGGGCTGTTTTTTCTATGCCACTTTATTTTATTTTCTTTCCTTTCTTCTCAATGAAAGCATATTTTCTTATTGAACGAAAAAACTACTAATTTTCTTTTGTTGACTTATAGACTGATTTTCTACAGTGGGATTTTTTTTGGGGTTCTTCTAGCAAAGTCTTGGGCTAGTAAAGACGATTTAGGCTGAAAGGGTGGAGTTATTCTGAAAAATGAGAAAAAAGAAAAGAAAAGAAAAAGAAGTTAGATATGTCTTGTGAATTTTGCTCCTCTACAATTTTTGAGCTTACTTGGGAGATTTGGCTGATTAGCACACCTTGAGGACGAGGTGTGTTTCAAGGGTGGTGTAATGTTAGAGGGTTATAGTAGGAAGATTAGAGGACGGCAGACTTGTAATTACTTGGGTACTTTGTTTGGGTGGCATGGTTATAAATAGGGAGAGATATGGAGTTTGGGGATGGGTAGAACTCTGGGGATTTGTCCGTTGTGGGAGAGAAATAGCCCTCTCAATTCCTTGGCATACATGCTGGTGGGTCACCCCTGCAAAAGGGAGAAAAAGATCCTTTGGATGCATTTCATACGAGCGATTCTTTGGGCTACTGGGATAGAAAGGAGCCATAGGATTTTCCAAGACAAGGAGCTTCCTTTTGATTGTTTATTTGATTCTGTAGTTTTCTTAGTTGTCTCTTGGTGTTCCTCTCTTTTATTACTATAGTTTATCCACCTGAAGAGGTATTTTGTAACTCCCTTGGATCAAGGTTTTCTCCTCCTCTTAATTTCATCTTATTAGTGAGCTTGTTTCTTCTCAAAAAATATAAGCGATGTAATTTCTCTTTTTATTGTAATATAATCTTGTGTTATTTTCTTATATCAGGATCCTAATAGGATGCTTTTTATGCAGTCCTTTATTTTGGTCAAGGAGATAATATCTCCTTCACTCTCTTTTTATGCTCAAATATTGGTTTTAATGAATTCAATGTGTTTCTATATATATAACAATAACGATAAAGATAAAAATTAAAAAAAAAATCTTTCATTACCATTCATACAGACAAAAAAATTTAGAAAGTTAAGACACTTGGATCCAATTATGCAGCTAATGCACCAAGTAGAAGAGCACATTTACTAACCATCCAAAGGTGAGAACTTATTCCTTTTGATGGTCTAAAAGGAATTTATAAAACAGATCAAAACTTCCAAAATATTTGGTCCAGAAGTTGAAGTCTTGAATACTGCAAGGATTATTACACAACTGATGAGTTTCTCAAAGAAGACCGTCTCTGATTATTCCCATATGTATTATCATAGTTATGGAAAACTGTATCTACTTTAATCGTTTGGGAAAGTTCAATTTTTGGTTGATTATAGTTTTTCTTTTATAGGAAACAGAAATATTTCTTATCGGTATGCTGAAATATTACAAAAGAAGGGAAGGCAGCCTCATGCAAGAGGGAGTTACAAAAAATCCTCCCAATTAACCGAGAGATAGTTTTAGTTATAGCTTGTAAAGGGATGTGTGCACTTACAGTTTTACACCAAGATAAAGCATGAACGAAATTGCTTTCCAAAAATCTCATTGGAAGAGCGGCAGTTTCTCATCCATGTAGGAAATTGGCATCAGGCTCGGGCTTCAGTTGTCATATTTCATTGCTTCTTTTTCTTTATTCCCTTTGTGAGGTTAAGAGTTGCTTACTTCAGTGTATGTGTATTATTCATCTGTATGTACATGCATATATATGTGTGTGCACAAGCTTATGTAGGTATCCTCCATTTGTTGATTTTATCTTTTCTTCATATTTATCTTTATTTCAATCTTAAACATTAATAATACATGGATATTTTGATGTATGTGCTTATGTATTCTGATGTAGTTAGTAGGTTATGTCGGTTAGTTAGTTAAACTGTTAGTTCTTGGTTGCTGTTATTTTAGTTATTGAGTACTTGTTATCCCAGCAGCCTCTATAAATAGCTGCTGGATTTCAGTGTTTAGAGAATACAATTCTCTTCAAGATTTCTACCTAGATTGTGTACACCATATTCTCTAATGTAATTGATGTTTAAGATTAAGTATTATGGTAAAGAGTTGTTATTTTGGCAGTTTAAATTAGTGCTGAATCACCTTTGGTCTGCATTTTCAGGATGTATTTCAGAACTATGCCATTAAACCTCAGAAGGAAGTTAAAGGTTTCATACATGACAGTCAGGAAGTTAAAGGTGTCATACATGACAGTCAGGAAGTTAAAGGTGGCATACATGACAGTCAGGAAGTTAAAGGTGCCATACATGACAGTCAGGAAGTTAAAGGTGTCATACATGACAGTCAGGAAGTTAAAGGTTTCATACATGAGGAAGCAAAAGGTCTGATTGAACGAATCCTTGTGTGCAAGTATTTAGATAATATTGTCTGGCATAACTGTCCATTTAAATATTCTTGTTTGAAAAATCTACAGATTTGCAACCTCCAAAAGTTGATACTCGGCCGACGCATTCCCATGAAAATGTATGAATGTATTAGGTGATGGAGCTTATATACTGCTTCTGAATTTCAAGTGGTTTAATAGTTTTTGTGGTTGTTTATATGCCTTTTTTCAGAGTACCAAAGTTGGTGGTAGAGTCCAGGCTGCCCGACGTATGACTGTCATGGACGAAAGTGGAAAACCATGTGAGTGGAAGTTTGGAAGCTATTGTATTTGGCGACAGGAAAATAGAGAAGTTATTAAAGATTCTATGGTAAAGAAATTGAAGGATCAGCTTTTTGTCGCTAGAGCATACTATCCTAGCATTGCAAAACTTCCATCACAAAGCCAGTTATCTCAAGAACTGAAGCAAAATATTCAAGAGCTGGAACGTGTTCTGAGTGAATCAACTACAGATCTCGATCTTCCTGCGCAGTAAGTTGTGGTAGTGTTTATGATTTTAGTGATGAAAATGGATGCAAAGTGAAGAATTACAACTCAGGATCCAAACCTAAAATTCCCCCAAATAGGAAATTACATTTACATAACACTATCCCACCCTCAGTTAGTTACAAAGGAATTTCAAGGACGGAGAGATTACAAAGTGAACACCAAAAGGAGCAATGGAATTTAGCCAAATCAAAACTGTCTCCTTAATCCCTTTGTCATTATGTATCCTGATATTTCTTTCCTCACATAGCCTATTGAAACGCTTTAACTGTGTCATTCATCAAGTACACTCCACACCATGTCCACATAGCATTAGAACCACATTATTCTTCATCGAGTTGATCAAATAATGAGGAAACATCTAGTTCGTTTATTATTCCTTCTACTATTTGCTAATACTTGTTAATTACGACCCCAGTTTGGCTCTACAAGTGACGTTTTGTATCTAATTGACTAATTGAGTTTTCTGAATGTAGTTTATCTTTCACATCTGGTTTCCTATTTTGAGGTCTGCCAATTTTGGCTCTCAATGATAATGTTTGTGTATTCTGACAAGTTTACTAAACATAGTTTATCACTCCATTTAGCTTGCTTTTTGGAGGGGTCTTTAAATTTTGGGTTATTTGTCACCGAATCTAGCTTGAGCCTCGCTTATATATAACTAGCACTATGTTTATTGAACTTGTAAACATCATCTCTTAGTGGTATGCCAATGATTTAAGGCTACTTCGATAGCAAATAAATTCAAATTGGAATATTATTATTCTTTCCATCTTTCTAATCTCTTAATTCTATATTTGGAAAGCTTTGTAACGTGAGGTTGGGAAATAGCATCTGCCATACTCCGAAGGCCTACTAGCTTGTCTACTTACATTTTTGCAAATATTTTCAAGGAGACAGAAAATTCATATATGTTAGGCAAACTAATAAAGGCTATAGGCTTATTGGAAAATATTTAGCCTCTGTACTATCTAGTTGCTTTACTTTATCATTTTTCTTAGCTTATTGAATCTTTGTTTAAGAAATCCTTATATTTCTGCCGTGGAAAACTTTCCGCTTCAATTTCTTAATCAGGATAGAGAAAAAGTCACTGAAGATGGAAGCTGCAATAACCAAAGCTAAATCATTCCATGTGGACTGTAATAATGTGGACAAAAAATTACGACAAATATTTGATCTGACTGAGGATGAAGCTAATTTTCACATGAAACAGAGTGCCTTTCTCTTCCAACTTGCTGTTCAGACCATGCCAAAGACCCAGCATTGCTTGTCTATGCAGCTAACTGTTGAATATTTTAGGATTGGTTCAACCGATTTGGAGCCCTCTCAGGCCGAGAAATATGCAGATCCCACTTTGAACCATTATATAATATTCTCGAATAATATACTTGCATCATCAGTGGTAATCAACTCAACAGTTATGCATGCAAAAGTGAGTTAAATGTTTTTATTTTTTGTACTTTTGACTTGTATATCTGCATTACTCGTCAAAATGACACTGATTACCTACTCCTTGATGTTCTAGGAAAGTGGGAATCAGGTTTTTCATGTATTGACAGATGGAGAGAATTACTTTGCCATGAAACTCTGGTTTTCGAGGAATAGTTATAAGGAGGCAACTGTTGAAGTATTAAACGTTGAGCATATTAAACTCAATGATCATAAAAATGCAACTCTTGTATTGCCTCAAGAGTTCCGTGTCTCATTTCGAACTTTAACTCACTCTAGGACAGAATACATTTCGATGTTTTCACATTTGCACTACCTTCTCCCTGAAATATTCAAGAACCTGGAAAAAGTTGTAGTTTTGGAGGCTGATGTTGTTGTTCAGCGAGACTTATCAGCCTTGTGGAGCCTTGATATGGGAGGAAAAGTTAATGGAGCTGTACAGTTCTGTCAAGTGAGGTTGGGCGAGCTGAAAAGTTTTCTGGGCGAGAATGGCTACGATCAAAATGACTGCTCTTGGATGTCAGGATTGAATGTAATCGATCTGGCCAAGTGGAGAGAGCTTGATCTTTCTCGAACTTTCCGTAGTTTGGTCAGGGAGGTAAGTCTCAGGCATTGACTGTGCTAAGTTATAAGGAAAGATACTTGATTGTTAATTCTAGATATCTAGAATAGCTCGTGCATAAACATGCATGCATTGTAGACAGACATTCTTAAACATGCTTTCTTGCATTTTCACAATCATCCACTCACGCATGCCGCAAAAGTAAATCAAGAAAAGAATTTATTTATTTTTTTTATTTTATAGAATTTCCATTATATATTTAATTTAATGGTCCTATATTGAGGCAAGCCTTAATCTTCCTGATCATGAATCTTCCACTGCAGATGGCTTTAATATGTTATACAGCATTACTTAAGCCGATGCTCAGCATATTTTAGAATTGTCATGTCTATTCTATGATATGTTTGCAAATTCTGCACTAAATAAAATTTCCTCTTAAGTTTTGTTTTCATGTATCCTATTCGTACTCAGATTCCTTTCAGTCTGTGCCTCTAATATTTGAGTTGCTTGCCATCAGATTATCCGACTCTTTCTCTGACTTCATAACCATTGTTGAACAGCAGAAGAGCATGCAGGGCCGATCAACCGATACTACTGCATTGCGTGCAAGCTTGCTTACTTTTCAGGGCCAGGTGTATGCCCTCGACGATTCATGGTCTCTATACGGATTAGGTCATGACTACAAGCTTAACGCCCAAGACATCGAAAATGCTGCGACATTACACTACAACGGGTACTTGAAACCTTGGCTGGAGTTGGGTATCCCAAAATACAAAGCTCACTGGAAGAAGTTTCTAGACAGAGAAGATCTGTTCTTGAGTAAGTGTAACATAAATCCGTGATGAGTTTGATGATTCTACCACACCGTCTACTACTCAGAATTCCAAGAAATCTGGAGCTCAACTAATCAAGTATAATTTTCGTCGACAAACGGGATTGCCCTCAACTGACAGAGAGCTCATTTTTTTCGGTAAATAAACTACTAGCTCCATCCAGATCAAGTTTGCTTGTGGTGACTTCTGATATATCATCACTTCTGTGGTATTCTTTGAGATTTGATGAAGAAGAGAGAGCAGCGGTAGAGATTTCTCTTTGTTTGCTAGTTGGTTTGTTGAATGAGAAACTGAGTTTTGGAAAGTGTGGCAAATAAGGCAAAAGATGCAGAAAGGCTCAAGATTCGCTTGGAAGTTAATGAGAATATGTTCTTGTCTTATGCCTTAACAGGATTGTTTGTCTGTTGATGTCACTCATATTAATATATAAATATGATATATATATATATAGTTTATATAGTTAGATTAGGTTCTCACGATTCTAGTCAAAGTGAAACTATAAATTTTTTGACAATTCGTATTCAATTTGATTATAATAGAGTTGTTTTGGAGGCATTTTGCCTATTTTGTGAGCAGCATTATTCTCTTGACTTTGATTGTGCAGCAGCTATAATGATTATTTACACTGGAAGTTGTGGCAGCTACAAATTCTCTCCTTATTGTTCTTCTCAGCCTATTGAACTTCCAGCTTCTAGCCCAGGTACTATATTCTCCTAAGTTGCCTTTAAATATGATATATGAGGTTCCAGAAAAGTACTTAGTCCGGGATGAGAACTATTTTATTTTTAGTTTTACGTTTTTAGAAATGGGAAATACTTGGCTCCTCAACAATGAAGAGGAATTTTGTCCTCCTCACCGTTAAATATTCGACCGCTCATTATTATTTTTAAAAAGTCTATGTTTTTGCATTTCTTCCTCTTAGTTGTCAATCATTTAAGGGGCGAGGAAGACAAGGTTTCTCCTCGACAATGAGGAGCCAAGTATTTTCCTTTAGAAATTATGCTTGTGTGTTCACAAGTTTCTTGGTATGCTTTATTTTTAATATATTTGAACACTTAGCTAAGTTTAAAAAATAAAAACAAAATTTTGAAGACTATTTTTTATTAATTTTAAATTTTGGCTTAAAATTTGAAATATTTTTCAAAAAATATATTCAAAACTAAGAAATACACGAGAGAAAGTTGTGCTTTCAACTTTAATTTTCAAAAACACAAAATTAAAAATGAAATGGTTGTTACTTAAATGGTTTGTAACGTTAACAATTTTTTAAAATATACATTTAGTGGAAACATGTTTGAAATGATTTTCTTGGCGTTGGTTTCCTTTGTTTTTCTTAATTTTAATTTTATTTCCTATTGTTTAAAAAGTTTAAATTTAGTTTTTTTTACATTTAAAATTTATATTCTTGTGTGTCAACGCGTGTTTTGAAATGGTTGATGATAAACTTTTAGGGTGATTGGTAGAAATTCATAGAATAGAATTTCTAATTCCTCCAAATTTTTAATTGAAAGGAATTTTTTATTTTTCTATCTCTCGTGTAGTCTTAACATTTTATAAAAATTTTGAAAACTTATGAAGTATCGTGACCTTTGATTTTATTATAAGTCAATTTTAACCTTCACCGATCATTACAATTGAAAAACCATAAAATGACCCTTGATACATTTGCGTACCAAGAATCATGTCTTGAAACTCTTAAAATAATAGAGACTAAACTAAATTTAAAAATATATATATATATTCTACCAATATTAGGGGCTTACATATATTTTATAAATAAAATAAAATTTTTGTGCAAAATAAATTGTTCAAACAATCTTGGATACATCTACTCCACATGAATCAGAAGAGAAACGAATGAGATATATTTTTTAATAATTTGATTTTGGAATGTGCAAAAATGGAGAAACCATCATCATCTAGATAAATTTTCATTAACATGTCAACATTTTTATAGTATTGCAAAATAAATAACAAAACATAAAAAAAAATAATACTAATATAGATAAAATATTAATAGGGATACTTTTATAAAATTGAGATCTCGATATTTTTATTGACATTTTGATCAATAGAACTGTTTCTACTAATTCACTACTAAAATAACACATATATTTTTTTTTAAATCATTGTCGTATTATATTTACAATATAATATATAATTTGTAGACCACATATATATTCAACCCTATTAGGTAGCTTGTAACACTATAATAATTTTTTTTTTACAAATGTAAAATAAACAAATACAAAAGTAATTAACGCCGTCTGTGGGGATCGAACCCACGACCACGTGGTTGAAAGCCACGCGCTCTATCACTGAGCTTGACTAATATTTTAACAAACATGAAGTTTTAAATGATCCGACATCGTGAAAGCTATAGTCGATGCGCTCACTATATCTAAATATTCTTTATAGAAAACAAAAGCATCACATTTTCTAAATAAGGAACATATCATATAAAATGATAAACCATATCATCATGATATAAAGACCAAAGTAATCATTAAATTTTGATGAAGAAGCTAGAAAGTTGGATGAAGGTGGTAGATTGAAGAAATTTTTTTTTTATTTTTGTCTTTTTTTTGGTTGAGAAAAGTGGTACGTTCAAGTTTTATATATGATAATATAATATTTTCATTCTAAAAGATGAGGTGAATTAGGGGGTTTTTTTTTTAAATATTACTAACTTTTAAACTTATTTTAAGAATATTATCAAATTTAATAAAAATCTTATTACTAGCCAACACTAAAAATTCAACAATTAATTATAACGTTTGTGGGATTGAACCCACAACCACGTGGTTAAAAGCCACGCACTCTACCACTGAGCTAAGACAGCTTGATGGCATATTATCATTAGTACAACAAATGTGGAGCTATAAACCTTCCGTTTCAAAAAAATAAGTAGATATTTATTTTATTTTATTTCTTTTTCACTAGATCTATGCTATGATCACTACATGCAAAATGTTTTTTACAAAAACGAAAATAAGCAGCACCTTTTATGAAATAAGAGACCAATATTATAACTTATTTACAAATCATATCAAATGTTGGTGAAGAAGTTGATTCAAGTTTTATATATAAATCTTTCCATTCTAAAAATTTAGGTGACAAATTAGTGAAAATTTTATAAAAGCTTAATTTTCTATATAATGATTTGAATATAAAATTAAAATTAATGGGGAATTATCATCCTCCATTTTTTTATAGTATGCATAAATACTTCATCCAGTCGAGATGGCACCATAGCAGTGGTTTTTTAGCTTCGAACTGCCCAAAAGACATGTTTCATAACTGTTCTAGCACGTTGGTATTAGATTCTTCGTATTGTGGAGTGCATAAATTTGGAGACTACGCACAGGTTTTCACTTGCACTAAAAATTTGACAACTATTATTCGGTTGAAAAATCTCTCATCTCTCTGCCTAGCTTTTGACTTTTTTTTTTAATACAACTACCTTGCAATTTTCAAAGGGCACCACAAAATCTAAAGTTTGGAAGTAAAATGTTATTGACCTTATTTTAATGTAAAGTTGTTGGCAGTCATACATTTTGATTGCAATATAATATAATATTCATCGAGATAGCCACATAATATCCCTTGGAGTCCTTGTGGAATTACATTACATTTACAATATAATATATGGTTTAATTTGTAGACCCCAAGCATATTCAACCCTATTTATTTTATTTTTTTTATATAAAGGTAAAATAAAGGAAAATGAAACTAATTTACACCGTCTGTGGGGATCGAACCCACGACCACGTGGTTAAAAGCCACGCGCTCTACCACTGAGCTAAGACAGTTTGCTATTTGGTGGCTAATATTTTTAAGTACAACAAATGTAGGGTTATATGAGGATTTGAACTTCCAAATTTAAAGAAAGAAGTAGAATAAACTATAATATGCTGTTTTTTTTTATAATACGTGTGAAAGAGACTTCGAACTCACGATCTAGATGTCTTAACCCATTGAACAATGTGTTGACTAACTCTTTTATATATATATATATATATATATATATAAAAAAGACAAATTAGTGAGAATCTTTAAAAACTCATATTTCAATAAATCATTTGAATATAAAATTAATGAAGGAGAAATTGCCCTCATCCAATTTTCTTGGTGAATAATATGTATAAATACTTGAGATATGGACAACACCATAGCATTAGCTCTTTAGCTTTTCGCTACCTAATTAGAGCCATGTTTTAAAATACAGTTCTAGTGCCTTGGTACATTGGGTTCTTCGTATTGTGGAGTGCATGAATTTGGAGACTGCACGCATACGTCTTTACTCCAATATTACGATATTAAGTTCTCTTGCATCACAGCGCTCGTACACTTCTTACTTGAATTCGATTATATTTCACTAATACTTTAATTTGGATTTCAATTTAAACTTAAATCGAGCATATCTAATGATCAAACTCCGCAATCCAATCACTCTCATTTGTTATCTCTCATGATAGAAAACTTTGAAGACAATTAAGTTAGATTATGGACCTCAAATTGGTCCTTGAATTACCTTTTTGGTACCCCTCTTGATTCATAGGAGAAGAAATGGATCCATAAGGCCACATGTTTAGTCCATTGAGTAGTTGGATGTTGTGGGAGTAGGTGTACAAATGAGTTTGAACATAGTCCTTTTGTTGTCTTCTCATAAACCAACAACATATATACAAGTACATAAAGACAACATTTATCAATCAAATCCCATCAAAAGTAGGAATCACGGTCAATAACGTGTATTCTCTCGCCAACTAAGTACAGTTTAATTGGTTTAGACACTTATATCCGATTAAAATGTCGTAAATTCGAATCTTCATCCTCACATATCATACTCAAAATAAAAGTAAAAATATATATATTCTTTCTAATCTTCACTAGTCTCTCACGTGACCCTATAATTCTCCAATTTCGATTGAATTTTAGGAGTAATTTTGCATTTCCCTTCTCCATAACATAACCTCCATTTTCTCCAGAAATCTACACATAAAATTCTTCTTTGTTATTTTTTTTAGTATTATTATTTAAACTTCCGGTTTCATAAAGAAATATAAATATATTAACTAGTTAACTTATGTCAATAATTTGTTCTTTTAACTTCTAAACATATTGTATTATGCAATGTGTCATACTTCAAGTTTAGTCTAAAGATAGTTTTTCTAGGTATGACATTCTTCACCAATCATTCCGATGCAATTTAATAATACTTCTAGTTGACTATTACTAAAATTTTGACAGCGATTTTTTTAATAGAAAATAAAATTTCTCTCCCCATATATATGGTTTAACATCAACTATTAAGAGCTCGATACTAAAACTAGAGGAGCCACCAGTTGATTTACCAAACCTCGAGCTAACATCCAGCAAACGCTAGAAGAAATATAATAGTACTAATTCTATTAATTCCAACTAGGATATTTGTCATTTCAAACAACAACAATCAAGTCTAATTAATCAGTTTGAAGCAATGAGTTAAGATATAGAAGCTCGAATCCCCATCCTATATTATTGAACTAAAAAATCAAGTCGAATTACAGATTGATTCGTACCAAGAAACTCTCTATTTGCAACCATCCAAACATACCTGAACTCCTTCAACTGCTCCTATGTACTTGCCCACAGTACTCTTTTAATTTTGCATACTTTTATCTACTTGTTCCTTCAATCATTTGAAGGACCTTCTTCCTTGCTTTTTATGCTTTATATCTTCATGTATCAACATTATGTTTTCTTTTTTCTCTTTTCATCTCTCATAGTTGAGTTCCCCTTTTTCCGTCCAAGTTTCGCTCAAAGATAATTAGCACACATCTCGACAAAAGAAAATGTGAGTTCGAATCCTTCCACCCCACTTGTTGTACTAAAAAAATTCTTTTTTTACGAGAAGATTATTTTCCTTAATTACACCCGTTGGTAATTTATTTGAATGGCCCATTTTAACTCTTATAAGTTGGACCAAAAGTCATTTGATTCGGCTTTGAATTGAAATAGTAATGATAACTATTTGATCTAACTCGAAACTAAACTTTTATATAACATAAAAGTAATTTAAACCGAAATTACACAAACTTAGGTTTTTCAACAAATAGAAAAATATTCCTCATACATCCCTTGATATATAGTTTGATATTCTATTTATCCTTTATTTCAAGATTAACAACATGGTGGATAAATTTGCAATTGTGATTTTCCATTATCATTTTTATAAAAATCATTGCTATAAAATCGAAAAGGGAAATGTAGTGCTTTTATGATATAATCGTGTTACATAACTATCATTTTTTTTTTTAAGGATGGTACAAGAAAATAAATATAACGGTGGTTATTTCTTTTTAATTTATAAACTTTTAAATAACTATCATGTAAGTGTAACTAATGGTACAAAATGCAGTAAAATGTCAAGTTTAGAAAAGATCAAGATTTTGGTTAAATAATAATCTGCAATTAAGGCAAATTAAATAAACCCTATCTTTGCCAACATGAACCTAACTTACCAATTTGACATTATCTCTAATCAAGAAGTCATGAATTCGAAATTCCTACACTTGACTTTATAACGATTTGTTCTTACAAATTGGTAACAATTTAGTGCCCGGATTAATAATTTAATCCCTACCATAATAAATCTTATCAAAATTAAGCATCAATACTTTCATGTAACAATTTAGTCTTTATATTTTTCAATATCCCTCGTCATTTTAACTATTTATATATATAAGAAATCGCATTAAATCTTAACAATAGAATGAAGACTAAATCAAACTAAATACTAAATTGTTACCTACCTAATCGATAGAAATTCATAGGCTAAATTATTACTTCATCGAAACTATTTTAAAACTCAACACCCAAATAACCAAATAAAGTTTTTAAAAACAAAAGGATAAATTTTTTGCTTTGAGAATAGAATATCACATCACAAATGGGCGAGGGTTTAAACAACTTAATCGTGGTAATTATTCAAAGAAAGAAAAGGGAAGATGATTTCGTATACATTGGAAATTGGGAAAAGGTTGTAACATGGGAGACTATCAAAAGATTGACATTATGTTGGTTGGGGAAAGCAGATTAAAAATAAGATAATAAAAAAGAAGAATAAGAAGAAGATGATAATGATGATGATATTATCAAACGACAACAGTGATATCATAGAGAAAAAGAAGAAACCTCAGTACCGGGGAATATGGTTGGTGGCTGCATGATGAAACGGCGGCTTCCAAGCAGAGGCCGTGAGCAAGCACAGATCCTTCCACCCGAGTTTCAGAGTCCCATTATCTTCAACAAGAGTGTACCCGTCGGAGGGGAACATTCCAAGGAGGAGGGTCGCCTGAGTTGCGGCGTTTCCGGCGAGAGAGATGCCCTTGAACCCAGATTGCTGCAGCTTCTCTCTCCAGTTCTGGAACTTCACCTCGCCGCTCCTCGACGGCCCGCCGACGGCCAGCACGTTCCGGATCTCCCTTGACAGCAGCTGCTGCTCCACCAAATGCCTCTCCTCGCTCTCCTCGCCGTAGCTCACGCCCAGTGAGTCGAACAGGGCCGAGTAGTAGTGGATGGCCTCCACGAATCTGCCCAAGAAGGAGCCTGTATGGCTCAGGTCTTGTTCCACCACCGTCACCACTTTTGGGGCCAATCTGATCAGTTTCAGATATAGATATATAGATAGCAGCAGTGTTAATTATTTACTATCAACATGTTTGTAGAGAGACTAATGAATAAAGTTGGGGAGAGGGGGGAGAGTGCAGCTTTTTTTTCCTGTGCATTGCGGAGTTAAATTGGAATTTACCCACTTGGATTTTTTAAAATGGAATGCTGCTTGGTTTCTGGTTATCACTGTTCATCATTTTGAGAGAGATGAAGGTAGGGTTCGGGTGTTAATGGAGGTAAGGGTAGCTAGTCTGATAATTGGAACAATTAATTAATGGAAACCCCATGAAAGAAACTAATTAATAAATATTCATCCATTCGAGAGGCAAGATTGGGGAGAGTGGAGAGTGGCAGAGCCAAAGACTTTCGGGGAGGAGAGAATTTTGAAATCTTTAATGTTTTTATATAACTTTCCCTCCTTCCCTTTGAGTGCAGCTTTTTCCAGGCATTGTAGAACTAAAATGAGATTGACCCATATGAATTTTGATGTTATTCTGTGTGTAATGGAGGAGATAAAGGGGCTTTTTACTTGATTTCTAGAGTTGGGACTGTTCATCTTTTTGAGAAAGGTGTGGGGTTGGGGCGTTAATGGAGGTAAGAATTGAATTGACAACAGATATATAGAATGAGCAATGAATTATGGAAACCCCATGAAAGAAACTAAATAAGAGAGTTGGAAAAATGGTTACCTCTGCAAAAGCCATAGCGTGTTGGAATCAGACCCAGTGACTTCATAAAGAGAATGCTGCATCCAATGGACGGCGACGGCTTCCCTTTTGCTAACATTGAGCTTCTCCAAGTCCAGATTACCAATTTTTTCAGCCACCGGAAAGAAATCAAAGGGAAGACCAAGCTTCTCGGCGAATTCTGTGAGGCGTTTTCCGGTGGCCTCAAGAACCTCCTGAGACGTCCCAAGTCCGGTGAGGCGGACGTACGGTGGCCCGCCGGGCCGAGACGCCAGAATGTGGAACAGACCCGGCCATTGAAGCCCCTGCATGATGTCCAGATCTATAATGTGAACCCTCTCCTGCCCCTCGAAAGCTTCTTGAATGGCTTGATTCGCCGTAAAGTGGGAGAATTTGACGAAGGGGCTTATGCCATTGAAGACCTGAAAAGCCGAAGCTATCTTCTGGGTGTGCGAATGGGGCACCAACGCCGGC